ATCTTGGATTTCCCCCCAAACAGCCTGCAAGCTGCAGGGGGCGCTGCTGATTGGGCAGCCCCCAGAATCTAGTCTGGCCTGCCCAGACAGCCTGCAGGCCGCATGGGGGAAGAGAACTTGGGGAGGGCGGCTGGCAGGGGAGCGCTGCCCCAGTGCCCTGGGAGGAGTCGCCACTGGAGCAGCTGCCATGAGACGCACCGGTAAGCACCTCCTCCATCTCCCAGCGTCCTGCCCTGAGTTCTGCATTTCCTACCTGCCTTAACTTCTGCACCGTCTACACCTGCCCTGAGCCCCCCCACACATTCCAATCTTCTGCCCTAAGCCACCCACCCTCTGCCCCTCCTCACACCTGAACTTCATTCTCCTTCTTTCTTGAAAAATATAATAATTGAAATAAAGCATGTATAGTTTTCATTTATTTTTCCCCGCAAAAATTACTTCATTTAAAGACCTGAACAACACTGGGTACATCGGCTAGCACAGTATAAAATGAGTAACTAATTGAAATTACTTTAATGTCTTCCTACCTAAGTCACAAATAAGCTACATATAGCATGTTAGCAATATATACAATCACTGGAATTTTTTGTCTTCTAACTAAGGCTTCATTCTTTCCTATGAAATGAAAACAAACAAATACAATTTTATCCTATTTTTAGCAAAAACATTTTAGTACACTGTTGTATTTTTTAATAAATGATTTCTGGAAGCATATATCATATAGGATATCAGACATACTGGATACATTTCAAATTTTAAATTATGTCCACTGCTTTTTCACTGTAATATATATAAAAGTTGATTAGCTAATGAGAAAATAATAATAAAATGTAAGCAGGGCCACAATAAAAATAATAAGCCACAGAGAAATAGTAATTACACTATACAATCATTTGTGTCTGGCAGATTTTCTCTCTGGTGTTTTAAGGACCATGGTTACTCCTGGGAATGTAATTGATCAAAGAATTTGAAATTCTGGTTTTTTGTACACTAGAAAAATTTGCATTGGCATAGCTAAACTGATTCAAATTGTAATGTAGGTGTGAGCCACCAGTGCTAAATGGAACATGAACTGATTTGACTTACACCAGATACTTATGCAAACTAGGGATGATGTAATAGGATAGACTAAATGCATAGACTAAATGTATAGACTAAATGCATTTCCACCCCTCCCCCCAGCAGTACATTTTTTAGCTGGCTGGCCAGCAGCCTGGTTCAGTCCTAGCTTGCTATGGCTCTGCATTTAAAGTGTATTAGGAGCTGACGGGCAGGCAGCCTGGCTCAGTCCTGGCTCGTACCAGGTCCAGGAGCTCAGACCTCCCCTAGACAGGGGCTGCTGCCATCCCACACTGCTTCCACCCCACACTGTATCAGAGGCAGCAGCACAGGGTGAAAGGCAGCCGGTCCATGAGATGAGCTGTTTTTTAAACTGGCTCCTCTCATGGACCAACTCTCAGCTGACATCCCACACTGCTACCTCTCTATCAGAAGGCAGGGAGCTTCTCAGGAGTGGGGCCAGAGTGCATTGGCTGCCAGCCCTGCCCCTGGGGACTATAGAATAGTCAAGTAACCAATAAGAATTCATGAGCTTAATCGACTATTCAATTAACCAATATTTAACATCCCTAATGCAAACCCTTAATGACATACTGGACCAGTGCAAAACAAGACTTGTACTTCTTTGACTGACTGCAGAATAACTCATGACAGTTCAAATTCCACTTTGCATCAGAGCAACATGCCTGTTAGCTATGCTGGTGCAAATTTTCCTAATGTGGACAGACCTTCAATTTCAGTGAGTCTTATAATAGTGCAGGCTAGCAAGGAGCCCGTGATTGCTGGACCTGGGAATAAGATACAAATGAGTTCACTTGTGTTAATTAGGTGTTAATATTGTAAAAATCTTTCTTTGGGAGAAACAGGCATCTCCAATCTCACCATTGAGCTTATCCTAAAAAGCAGAAGTACATCATGAATGAATCATGTAAGTAAACTCTTGTCTCTCAAACAGGGTCAGCTCGAGCCATTCCTGTGCCCCAGGCAGCGGGCATGCAATGCATGCGTGGCTCTGCCCCCGGCTGCGCTGCACACCTTACAGCTGCAATTGGGCATGCGGCACCTGATTGCAGCTCTAAAGGGCACCTCGCGGCCCCCGGCCCCGGGCACACGGCGTCTGATGACAGCTCTAAGGGGTGCCACGCGGCTGGGCGCATGACGCCCCTTACAGCTGCCATCAGGCGCCCTCCATAGGTTGGCGCCCCAGGTAGCTGCTCAGCTAGCCCCCCTATTAATCTGGCCCTGGTCTCAAATGGCACGGAATATTGCTGTTCCATAAAATGGATGCCCATGGTCTCGATGGGATTTCCAAAACTATTAACATCCCTGCTGATGGGTAGATACTTGGAGCTTTGAGAGGATTTGGAAATGTCAAATTAACTGCCCTGAAGGAATGCAAGGCCCTGAAGGAAAATATTTGCCAAAGAATAAACCCACAAGGAATCTGAGTATTTTCCAAGCTGGCAAGTTAAGAGAGGAAATGCAAAACATCTTCATGACAGCAGACAGAAATACTGAGAGCTTAGCACTCTGCAGCCACTCTCTCAGACTAAAGAACTCATTGTTACATAAGTTTCCTATTGATAGCTGGCAAAGATGGGCCATTAATTGGATACCTAAATTACTAATCACTATCTGAAAAATGTGGCTTACACTAATATATAAAAGATTTCTCATATTACACTACACAGGGCCTGTTTATTGCTAGCATATGCCAATGCACTTCTATTTCCCTCCAATTTATCTATGATCCAAGATATATAATAGCATAGATACTGCTATTCTATAGCACCTTTCTGCCAAAGTTCCCAAATCTTTGCACAAACATTAATGAATTAAACCTCACAATCTACCCTGTGATGTAGCTCTGTATTATGATTCCCCATTTTACAGATCAGGAATCTGAGGTACAGAGAGATTAAGAAATTTGCCTATGGCTGTATAGGGGGTCAATGGCAGAGCTGGGACCAGAATCCAGATCTCTCAGCTCTTAAATCCATGCCAATCAGCTGTCCTTATATGACATGTCACAGTGCAAGATGTCACTAAAATATTTTTTCTCATGCTTGTGGTCCCTCAGGTATCCTAGTGGCTTGATGGTACATATGAAGAATGGAGAACACAGATTTAGCAGATTGGTTATGTTTGCACATGGTGTAACTGAGGAAGGCAACTAGGAGCGAAGACACCAGATAATTCCCACATGGTTCTATCAGTATAAAAATGTGTGGATCTTCGGATCAGTCGGACTAGGTCGTTTGCCCATGGGTCTATTGAGAAGCAAATATAGCATCCTGTTCTAAAGAGATTTGGTCATTGACCTACGGATCCATTGATCAGGGGAATGTTGGGCCCCTGGACCAAAGAGAATGGGTCTTTTGCTTATGGTTCCACTGATCAGGGGAATGTGGACATCTGGGCAGGAAGGACTAGGCTACTTTATCATGGCTCCCTGGATCAGGGGAATGTGGGTACCTGGGTTGCATAGGCTGGGCAATCTGCCCATAGCTCCATTGAAAAAAGGAATGTAGGCATCTCTGGTCTGAACACACACTGCCATTTGCAGCTTTGTGGGTGGCTCCACAGAATAAAAGAAGAGAATTAAAAGAAAGGAAGTTATAAAATAGACTGTGCTGTGTACAGGCATAAAATGTGCTGCTGGCCCTGCAGCGTAACTGTCAGGTGTAGGTCTGCTACTGAGTCAGGAAACTGACTGTTATTTTCAAGGGGATCATCTCCCTGTGCCATCATCACACAACAGAGTTATTAAGCACCAATCACCAGTTCTTTTCTGGCCCCTGCAAATGAAAAAGAAATGGAAGAAATATTTTGCACACAGCAAGTATTTAAACTTGTCTATCCACTAAAAAAAATAAAAATCCAGAGAGAGAGAGAGAGGGAATCCCTATGGAAACAAAGCTTTCACTTGACTAATAGAGTTAGCCAGACAGAGACTGTCACTGCTCATAAAGCAGGGCCAAAGGACCCCGAGGGCAAGTACCTCTGTTCTGATGGCAAAATGCAGCCAGAGGAGAAAAGAGCTCTCAAATGAGACACACATCTATAAAGGGAATCTAAGCCTGGGAATTAATGCAGCCAGCTCTTTAATTCACTGTCACCCCTCTATCTCCACCCCCCGCCACCCTCACAATAAAAAAAGACCCTGAAAGGAAGAGTCAAAGTGGAATCTAAGATAAAATAGGACATATTTCTGCAGCTTTAGTGAAACACAAACTCAGAGCCTTGATACCAAGAAAAGAACTATTTCTTCTTTGGGACTGTGTAATTTTTAACATGAACAGCATTCTTTAGCATCATGGAAACTTCAAACAAACAATAACCCTGCTTTTAATGTCCAGAAGCCATAGGACGCCTTTATTCCTGGATCTCACCATTTGAATGCTGCAGATTATCTTTCCTCCCTCCTCCCCACTTTAATACTTTGACTCGGCCTTTAAAATGATCTGCTTGTCCTAATGCTTAACGGCGGTATGGCAGGCTGTGTTTCCTGGTCATTGGTTTCAGGGACTGACTCATGACTCCTCGATTCTATTTTCAGCTTTATCACAGACTGATTGTATGACTTTGAGCAGATCACCTCACCTCCCTGTGGTTCAGTTTATCCTACTTGAGAATGGTGAGACTATCGACCTTGCAGGGGTAATGGGAAGCTGAACGTTTTTTCTCAAAATGCTTTCAGATGCTCAGGTGGAAGATGGAGTAGCAAAGTGGACAATATTATATTTACATCACTAGTATTCCTCTGAGTTGTCACAATCTGTCACCACAAGGTGCCTTATACCTGTTCACAGTGACTAAGGCTGTGAGGAGTCTTCTGAAATGGTGACTATTATTCTTTCCTGAGCATCCTGTTTGTCTGGACTGCACGTATACAGTGGTGCTACATCTCATCAGCCATATGTTTTCTGTTTGCCTCCTAGGTAATCTATCGTGCCTTAACGCCAAACAACAAGATCGAAGATCCATATGGTCCTGAAGCCCAAGACCTCCTGAAACTTACCAACCTGCGTCTCCTTTTATTAAAAAGACAGGAGTGTCCCTGCCAGAACTTGGGGTTGCTAGAGAAACCCCAGAGGTTTGCCCACTATGCCATCTATGATCTGATTGTCCGGGGAAGTTGCTTCTGTAATGGGCATGCAGAAGAATGCCAACTTGCCAATGGGACAGGGAACACAGAGAACATGGTAAGTTCTTGAAATGCACTAGTTTACTTCAGTTTGTATTTGTTTGTACTTCCCGAGTCAAACAGAAACTTCTCCATAAAACTCTTCCCAAAACCAGTTTAAAATAGGGTACCGCTGATAATCTACATCAATGAAACCCAAACCTGATTATCAGTGTGGAAGGGGTATAGCACTAACAGCTGTGCCAAAAATGATCTATGCTAGAGATGGGCCTGAAACAAAAACTTGGATCTGAATATATCTACACTTTGTGGTGAGGTTTGGAATCGGGATTGGGATCCATATCAAAATATGGTGGTTGATATTATACACCTTCTCGTATCTCAACAGGGAGATAAACCAAAAACTTGGACTCAAATGTTGCCAATGAAATTCTGGAATGTCAAAATCCAGATCTCTCTTAAATCATGTAAGGAAATCTCTCTTTAAACAATGCAATGAATCTCATTTATCACAAGCTAGCACATGAAAAGTATTGCTTGAAAATCCATTTTTATTTTCTTCTGTATTCAAATGCATATGGTAGATGAGCTCCCCACCATTGGAGACTCTTGAATTTGCTAGGCATGAGCAGTTACATTAGTTATGATTTCAGCTTTTGACTCTTAACTTCCTGGGTTTTGTTGGTTCAGTCAGAGGCTAAGTATTAATGGTGGGAGAGGAAGATTGTGTGAGTGGTTTAATTATAGAGTCCTACCACCAAATTCATAACTGTTGAAAACTTTTATTGTTTTCAAAGAAAAGTTTACTTGAGTAGGCACTGCAAAGTTTGACTGTAGATACCAGGACAAGAAGAAAGAGGCATCATAGATCTTGTAATTCCTCCTCTTGACTAACTGCAAAATAGTTAATTTTCTGTTGGTTTTCTTGAAAGGTCTTAGCTTGACCCATGCAACGCAATCTAATCTTTGTCTTGATATCTAATGGACTTATGTACAAATAGTTTGTTACTCATTTGTGACTCTAGTAGAAAATATCTATTATATATTTTTAAGAGTTTGGTTGTTTGTGGACTTGTTTGTGCAAAATAAAGTCATACTTTTCAATTACCTACAGATAACAAATTTTGCATAAACAATCCTGCCATTTAAATTAGCTGAATGCTCTACTTTTTGCACTGAAATATGCTGGGTGAAAGGTTTAAATAATTATTTTTGTTTTTCATTGGAAAAAAATCATGACTATTATGATTAGAGTTCCTAAAAAATATTTGCTAACTAAATTAAAATCAAGTTACCTATTCAACTGTCATTTTAATGCAAAGGAAATTTTTACAGTTACAAATCACAAAATAATTCAAATTTAGTTATGGAAAGAATAGTGAAAGCTTCACGAGTTTCTGATTCAAATTTTCTATGTAAGGTAATTATTCAATAAAATGAATAATGTTTGAAGTTGAAAGCCTACAAATTTAAAACTGTTCTTTTACTTTTCTTTTGCAAGCACATTAATCAAAAATTCTCTTACATATATTTAATTTCTTGAACTTTCCTATAAGTGTAATTCTATGCAAAATGACTTTGCCCAGTCGATGACTGGCCTCACCTGCTAGTTCTCTATGAAAGAAACACAAAAAGGTGGAAAAGATTAAAAGAAAAAGCAGTGTTTTTGCCAGTGCAAAAGCGGCTAGGAGTGCTGTGGCACCTTATAGACTAACAGAAGTGTTGGAGCATAAGCTTTTGTGGGCAAAAACCACCTTCGTCAGATACCCCTCTAATACTTTTACCAGTGCAGTTACTGATGTGCATGCATGTTTTCTGGGCACAATTGTGAAGCAAAATGTGGCCCTCAAAAGTGTTTCCTTGAAATAAACTCCGATCGCGTTTTAATTTTAATATCTGCCTGGCTGTTTTTTTAGGCACTTACACCAACAATTTGCTCTAGTGCTGACACTGTCACAAGTTTTAATCTGGAGGGATTTCTTCTCCTTCTGCATACACACGCACCCATGTGCACCCATATGAATAAACTATTGGTATTGATGCTGAGCATTTCAATTGTCAGCTTCAGTCAATGGGATCTGTGGGCATTCAGTGACTGAAAAATCAGGCCTGGCATCCCTGCTATTTTTTGGAAAATGGACTAGGGAGGAAATGGAAATCTCAACAGAAATGCAGGTGGTCTCCAACCCAGGCTTGCCTCTTCCTAGAAAGAAGCCAGGTCTGCAAGGAGCTTGAGAATTATTCTCTTGTGATATATTTGGATCTGCTTGAGATAAGGTTTATAATTAATCCTTTAAAAAAAAAAAGAATGAGTGCAAATTTACAAAGTGTCTGATAAGATTTTTTTTGTTACTTTACATACTTGTAGAGCAAGGTTCAGGGTACAAAGGTAATTCTCTTTCCCGCTGCACCAAACTTAAGACAAGTAAAGATAAAAAAGGATCCGCTGTACACGCCATAAGTTCACTCTTGAACGGTGATAAGGCTGAATTCCCTGCAAAGGTTCCATGTGCCCCTTAACTGACACTATCCTAATTCACAGAAACTTTTTACATTTTATGAAGGGACAACATTCAAACTCCAAACCTTTTCACTGCCATTATACATGCCAGGTACAGGCAGCTGCATGTGACTCCAGTTCAAATATAGCAGTTATGATACCATTTGCCATTGTTTTCAGTAAAATGCTAATTAGCGGAACAAGGAATAATGTAATATAATCTTCAGCAGTCTCTTTGGAATAAAATTCCAGGCTTTGATTTAGGAAAGCACATACTTACACGGATGTATGTGCTCTAATGCTTTCCTGAATGAGACTGTGTCCCTGCATAGAAGCCTTAAAGATAGGTGGGGTGTTCAAATGCTCCTATTCGTACTGCCCTACCAATAATGCACCATTACCAATTATTTTCTAAACACCGATTCCTCAATACATATTGTATGGAGTAACCATAATAACAATCATGGGAGAATTATGTTAATCAAATGTAGTGTGTTATCTAAGGATATCACAAAAGGAATATCCCAGCAGGCCAAGAATTCAAGCCATTTAACCAAGAACAGCAACTCAAGTCAATAGCACCATGGCTTTCTGTCTCTATAATGAGATCTGAAGACATATCCAGCCATTAATGCTTTATTCATGGTACCTTTATAGACTCAAGAAACCCCATTCCACAACTAATGTCCCATCTATGTAGGTATATAGTGCTTGTGTTATAATGGTAGTTTTTAAATTTTGGAATGGATATTCCTAAGGATCTTTGAAGTTTTCTAGTTTTAGAATTTTAGATGATGTATGATTAATAAAATTCATCTACATTTCACAATATTTAAAAGATTTTATTTTCTGAATCACTACCAGCCGTCGTATAAAATTATCATCGGATGTACTCTAGGATTGGGTGATGTTATCCACCCACTGTAAATGTGGACCCATTTAATATGTAACCGTGTAGAAAAAAACACTGCTTAAAGAACACATGTTCTACTGCAAGTTGTTAAATATGCAAGTGGTGAAATAGAATAGATGAGTAACACATTAAATTGAATACAGCTGGTAGAAGAAGAAACACTGCCCATTAAAAGGGAAAACACTATTGTGCGTGTTGTTGGCACAGTCATTGTAAACTATGACTGGGTGTCTCTTCTTGTTTTTTCCATTACTCTCAACGGAACTTGGGTTTTGTGCCATCAAATTATTTCATAGGGCAGAAGGTGAAATAGTTTTGATGAAATAGATTTCACGAGTGACTCATACCGCAGGACAACAAGGAGGATGTTTCCTAGTGCTCACTCTGAAACAACACTGAGGGTTTTCTCTGGATAAAGACTTAATAAGATCTGAGGTAGGGCTTCAAGATCCCTGTATCAATTCTCCTGAGGCACAGTGCCCATCATGTGGCAGAAGATGTTTTATAGAACATACTAATAAAGAAGGTAATAAATGGGCATCTTGAGATTTAAGAATATTAAATCTTTTTAATGCTTCAATTATTTAATACATGGTACTTCTAGGAAATGCAAAGCACACAAGCATCTCAAATAAACTATTCATCTCCATGCTGGGTTTTCTTTGGGGGAGAGGAGGAGGGAGTTTCAGATTATTTCATTGGTATTTTTGTCTGGGAGTAGCTGATATTTCCTAGGTTACATTTAGCATCTTCTCTAAAGCTACATTCATATTTCTGTGTACAAAATTCCTATATATTCCCTCCTTAGTCAAATGGGCAGGGCACAAAACTAGGTGAAAAGCCTTGATCCAGCTCTTTTGAGCATTCTTATATTTCAGTGCAGAAACAGTAAAAAGGAGAAAACATGATGGCCAGGAAATCTATGAGCAAAGAGCCCATTAAGAGCTTTTCCTGCTCTTGTAGTAACAATGACCCTTTTTCTTGTTTTCCCTTTCTCCTCTTTTACCCCCAAGTCATTTGGCAGATGCTGCAAAGATATGAAACATGACTTATGCATCATCTTGGAGTATCCATAGATTTACACTCAAAAGGTGGAATTCTTCTTTCAGATCTGCATGGGCTATATCATCTGGTTCTCCCTACACATGCATGTCAATGAAGGCACTAGAACTTACTGAATCTGGGTGATGCTATGAAAATGACAGGAGTGTTTTGTTGTAAGCACGGGACATTGGCATCAATTTAGAAAGGAATGAAAGTCCTGACTAGGCATGTGTGTGTCTCTGGTCTTTTTTCATTGCTGGACAGAGTGGATAATACCCCCATATTGTTTTTGTAGGCGGTACAAGAATTTCTGCTGCAATGGTCTGAGGGTCTTGCTGTACGGCACTGGGAACAGCGGTCTAGTTTAGGTTGCAGTTAGCTAACACATGGTAGCTAAGCCCAGTCTTTCCCCTAGCATATATCTAGAACACACAAAGGAGCTTGGAGCACAAACAGAGGGCACACACAGTGAACGGCTTCTAGACAAGCTTCCAGTCCATTTGTCAAATATTTCACAATTTTTTTTTAGTGCAAATGAAACAATAATAAAGATGGGACAAAGGAAGGTCACTGTGTATCCAAAAAAAAAATGATTTATAAA